CAGTCGAAAATTAGCTACTAAAAAAATAGAGAAAATTTTCAAGCAGAAGACTTCTGGATGGCAAGATACTCACTTGCACAAGAAATTTAGACAGACACCGTGATAAACAGCTGATTGCCCACATAAGCTTTTATGGTACGTGTTACAATGCCCAGAGTAAGAACAAAGTCACAACAGAAGGCTAGAACCTGGGAAACAAATTACAGCTTGTGAAATTGCTCAGAAAGGCAAGAGCAGCCACACTGAAACATATGGACAAAATTATATTGAGTAAGTGGACGAAAAACAGTTCCATTCATACACTCTAATTTTGCTGTAAAAAGTGAGGCTAACATGGATCTACAGCATGACTGGGAGGAGACAGTAGCTGAGCCCACGTTGCTCCCAGCCACGCTATTTTACCTTGAAGCAGCCTGGCTAAACATCCAAGCAGATGCAGCCTGGCTGCCACCGCAAGAGAAGAGACAAAAGTCATGGCAGATCAACAGAAACACAAGACAGTCACTGATGAATCCCCCCAAATCCTTAAAAACAGAATTAAGAGGCAGCCTAGGAAGCTGCTGAAGCTACCATTTGTTGGCTTCACTCCTTGTAAAGCAACAGGGAAGAAAGGAGCCTCCCTGAAGCCAGCTGCCCCAAAGGACTATGTAACACCCTCTCTCAATTCGGACAGAATCTCCAGTTTATTCAGACATTCAGCAGTTGTCTGTAATTGCTGGGCAACTAAGATTTGAGTTTACACCTGAGTGACTCATCTGCATCCAAGCTAGTGATTTATTTTCCACTGCACTTACTTACTTTGGGCCTTTACTTTCTTTTTCCAACTGCGTGTAATTAGGTACCTACACATGCTGAAAAAGCGATACTTGATTACCACTAGAAGTATCTGAGGCTAGGACAGGCTTACTACAGGCTTACAGTCTGATTTTAATGGAGAAGAGAGGAAGTAGTGCAAAAAAAGAACAGAACTTTCTGCCTGGCAGAGCTGAGGCTCTCCCCTCTGGCAGCCCAAGTCTCCTGGCTTTCAGATGATATTGGAAAGCTCAGATGTTTCCAGTACGAATTATGAGACAATCTCAAGTGAACAGCAGCAGCCACACACAATTAATACTACGTTTCTATCTCAGAACACAAACAAAAACAAACTGCGAGGCAAATCCAGCCTTTCCTCAGCATTATGCTATTTCCCAAAACAGAAGGTATAGTGTTTCAGCCCAGCTCTACATTTTTATTTTTTTATTTTTATTTCTCTAGATTTTGGTTTTAAAATTCTCTTACCTTATCAAGCAGCAGTAACAAGGAAAAATTAATATAAACGTTGCTGAACATTATAATCGCTTAACGAACCAGACAGGTAAGAGAACGTAGTACGGTCAACAACAGCAAACAAGAAATTTGGAAAACACATTACCAGTCTAAGGATTTTTTAATGGGTAGATATTCACGTTGCTGATTATTCAAGCAATTACAGAATATGACATTCAGATCTCAGGCTTCTTTAACTAAAATATATTCCACTTGTTTGCTTTTAACAGCAAAAGTAAATTTCAGGGGATTAAGTTTCAAAACTTTGAGATAATTAAAGCAGTCTTGCTCTTTTTGCAACTACAAACACCACCTTTCAGAAATATAATTTATGCTGAATCTTGAAAGCTGAGATCACTTGAAAAACAACTCACATTTTGATATAATGACACCACAATTAAAAGACTTTCTGATATAAGACTAAATTGGTCCCTGAATTAAATTTGCTTAGCAGCAATTTCTAAAGCTCCTGTATTTATAGTTGCAAACACATTCAAATTAATATCTCATCCAGGAATCAGTCTTGGGAATAGTCTTTCCAGACTACTGCATTAGTCCCTAAAGACTACAGATTAGGGGACTAGTCCCTACAGACTATGTGAAAATTGAACACCTTCTAAATTAATCAGCCCATCCCCATTTCTTTTATACTGTTTCTCTCTAGAATTGTTTACAAATGTACCTTCAGTAATTATATATATATACACACAGATACAATATCTGTAGATCAGCTACCAACCTATCAACTGCACTACAGTATTTTTCTGAATACTTTACCGTAATGACATTTCAGTGAAAAAAAGTACAAATATCAAAGAAGGAATTTCTGAAAGAGGATAAAACAAGGCTTCTGTAGTTCAGTTTTTCAGTCTAATGAATTTGTGTTTCTGGGTTTATATTCTACACATTTGGCTACCGATGTTCCTAATAAACAAAAAATGTTGTCACCTGGCTGAGGAGAAGAAGTCTAAAAACTAAAGTGTTGCATATCAATAGACTGTACTAGAACATCAATATTAATTTTTAAAGTTCATTTCCAGGGTTCCTGCCTGAAGAAAGAGTCCTCAAAGAGAAGAAAAAAATGATGTGTCTAACTTCACAGTCTCAGAGGGTCTAGAATGCTCCATTCCTTTAAAAAGTGAGTTTCAACACAAAAAGTAACTCCAGCTTCTCTATAAGGCATTCTGTGCTCAGCAGGATATGAATAAATATGCGTTCTCAGGAGATACCTCTGCAATCACTCCTGGCTCTCCAGAGGAAGGAAAGGTGTTTGCTCCTTCTGGGAGAAGAAAAGCCCCCGAGTGTTTTGTTGGCCTGACTGATAAAACAAAGATTCGGGAATCACTTGGTATCTTTGGGGTTCCAAAACCAAAAAGATGACATGGCTCATTGTTTTCCTTCTTCCCTTCATTTTTATTCGTTGTACTTAATTTTTATTTGCTTAGATGTTTGAATTCAAGTTATTAAGCCTTGATGTGAGGCTTTACTTCTTCAGCAGGTCAGCCTATAGAATTATTGGTTTAGTAGAGTTTTAGGTGAATATACTACCAAAGCAGATGTCATGTTTTAGAGATGAATGCGCCATTACAAATCTACTGGTAAGATGCTGTACACTTGGTGTAGGAAGCTTCTAAATGACTTTATGTCCCTAGTAATAGAGAAAGGTTCTACTTTTGTTTTATTTTTCCTTTTTGATAAACGGAAGATGGAAATAATCCCTTTTGGCGATTAAAGTAGTTCAAACACATATTTAATTTTAGCTACTCTGGCTCTAGGCTCTGGAGTTGTCTTCAGCAATGTTAAGTCCTGGCAATCTTTGTGCTGAGATCTTTATGGGAATATCTATATGGGAATGTAATAGCTGGCTCCTGCTGTAAGAGGAGAGACTACAAATGAAGACACTATGCTCTTAAGTGCAAAAGAAAAAAAAAAAAATATTAGTTTTACAGATGTGCACATGTTCAAATATCCAAAACATTTTCTCGGCCTTGCAGAGATTCCTCATCCTGCTGCCATATGGTATGAAGAATTTTCCATCTTGGTATTTGGAAGCTGTTTTCTAACAGCAACTAGTAGACAATTTAGTAGTTTCTTAATAAGCAGGATAAATAAAGTTTATTATTATTTAAAAATAAGACATCAAGGCAATTATTTCCTCCTTGTTAAGTTCACTACAAAAAAAGGCTGTGGAAAAAGACGTATGTCATAGATTACTGTGTATTCAATGACCAGCTGTTTTACATTTGGATATTAAGTAATTCACTCCTTTCTGTGCGCAAAAGCTGAATGATTTAATAAATTCCCTTATGCCCCAACATGTGCCAGCTTTACTAGGTTATCGAAAATCCAGCTGCTGTTATGATAATAGCTGCCAATGCTACAACTACTGAAGAGAATAATGAATCGGTTTCAAGTCAACTAAAACATAAACTGACAAGTTTCCCACTTAAGATACATGGGAATACAATATCTCTGTTAATTAAAAACTAACACTGACCCATAGTCACATAAAAACTAAGTGCCAAGAATTCATGTGCATTGTTTAAGGTGGAAAATTAATGCCTAATCAAGCTGTATGGAGGCAAGCAGCTCCATTTCCATCAGTAGTCCTACATGCATAGGAGTGTCCAATGAGCTACACATACAATTTGCAAAACAGATTCTATTCTCATGCAGTTTGCTTTTGTTTCTTACGCATCATAATTCCCATGCAGCTCTTGCATGACAAGTTTTACATAGCTGGACTGCCGGATTTTTCAATGATCATGAAAAATTGGTTATGAAAATGATTATGAAAATTTGACTCGTATATGTACAGGTATTTTAATGTAATTTAAGAGTCAAAGGTACAAGTCCACTACCCTTAATTCATTAAAAAAAGCACGCAAACAACAAAAAAAGCAGATAGAGAAAGCTGCCAAACAAGGAGACTGAAATAACTCTCCAGACAGCTATTTCTAGGAAAATAGGTGCAGAAATATCCAGCAAAATATGTCAATATTAAATTTTAAAGGCTAAGAAAAGACTTCCTTGGATATCAAATTATTAATTGTAGTTACAAGAGCTTTGCAGGTGAATGTAACTTCGATCTTCAGGCCAGCATAAGTAAACAACACATTAGGATACACACTTCTATTTCTCACAATTAACTCCATTGTTAAGGGAAATAATTTCAAAACTATCCTCGAAATCATCAGTCTCATAAGCAAGATTAGAGTACTACTATATTGATGTAAACGTACATCACCTACAGGACATACAATACTTCTTATTCACAAAAACCCCATCCAATCCATTCACATTTGCTAGAGCTGGATCATCTCCAGTACACAAAGTATACAATGCTCAAAAGCCACATTAAAGAAGACTTCAACAACTTTAACTTCAAGCAGTCTATATATAGTAGTTTAAGCATAAAAAGAAATTTAAGAATGTATTATTTGAAAAAGATTAGGAATATACTGACAAATTAAAAGCATGTCATGCAGAGACTTAAGATGCTTATAAAAGCTCAAGGAAAGGGGCAAACCACATCAAGGGGCTTACAGAAAACTCAAAAACTTTGAAAGCTTAAAGCAGCTCATTCCTTTTCATACCTGAATTATGAAGTTGCAAGTAATTGTGTTTTCAGCCACATGTTCTTGACATTGAAAAAAACCCAACGCTGTTATTTTCTCAAATACTAGCAGACTTACTTTTCTTTAAGGAAATCCACTACTTGTTTGAAGTCTGCAATGCAGTATTCTCTTTTCATGTCCATGAGCACGCTGTCAGAGGCTGACTGGACCGGTATGTGCAGAAAAGCATATACTCTTGGATGATTGAGAATCTTCGCCATTTCCTATGAGTTATTCAAAAAGAAAAAAAGATTTAAAGCATTATGAAAACAATATACAAAACTCCTTTAAATTAATATATGGGGTAAATATCAGTAGAAATACTTCTGCAACCCAAACAATACTGAGTTGCAGTGGCCCAGTTTGAAACAATAGGGACAGGTGAAATTTGGAAGCAATTTGGTTTTTAAAGAAAATGAGAAGAAAGCTATGGGATTGCATTTCGTTTGAGATAGGGCTGACATTCCCTGCATAGTATTGGTTATTCAATTAAGAGAAAATTTTAGAGGCAAAGTACTGTGAAAGTCAGTGCTTTCAGACAGCGGCTGTTTCCAATTTCAGAAGATGGCAAGGGTTAGCTGCTTTCTTGTCAGAGTCAAATAAGTTCTCAGATATCAATAGGAGAATGTCTCTAATTGGGGTACCCTTAAAGTTGGCCATTTGCTAATTAAGGTATATCTGGCCATTTGCAAACCTGTTCCAATACTGGTCTGAAATATCCTACCCATGTTATTTCAGAGATAAGACTCCAGGAATTAAAAATGTTTAGCTATAAAATAATCAGGGGGCAGCTAAAAGCAGAGTGACAGCTTGAAAAGAGACAGAAATGTTATATGTTTGGTAAAAATACAAAAGGTCAGAAAGAAAATGAAGTGAAGGTAATAGCAAAATGCAAACAAACCCGCAAATCAAAGCCAAACCAAACCTCTGATTGAGGTCTGGCAGTGAACATGAGACAGAGAAGAGAATATGGTGGTCACATTTCTTTCATTTTTATTATTTACACAATTAAGGACATACGGTATAACAAGAAAGTGTAAATATTTTTAAAATTTGAGACAAAACAGCATCTGGATTGTGTACAATAGGGCGTGATAATCTGCACCCTGCAAAAAATAAGTGAATTTGGACAAAGAACCATATTACACAGACGACCAGGTTTTCACTTAAGGTTTCCCCTTTCTCTCCATGCAGTGAGCATACAGGACACAGCCTGGGACCAAGTGCTGCACTGCCTGCTCTTCTGCCACGTGCATTCTGCATGCTCCAGTCAGGCTCACTAAGACCATTTCTCCTGTTTTCTTTCACAGCATAGATATTCTGTCTGACAACACATACTGCTGCCACATTTAGTTGTTAAGTTGCAACTATTTACAAATTCTTTCCAGATCATTAATCAGCAATATTAGTCACACATCTAGATTTTCTCTCTGTATTTCTACAAGGTTGGCCTAGATTGTTCAAAGAGAAGGTAAACACCCTCGTGCCTTTTAACTTTTGGGTACCCATCTTTTAAAAACACTGATTTTTAGAGCCAGAAGAAAAAATGCTCTCTGAACACACACCTTTCATCTGACAAACATATGCGTAGAAAACTCAGACTCTCTCATATCAGTTTTGAAAGCAGTTTTGAAAGTTTCTGTCTAAAATCTTATTACACAAATGTCTAAGACAAGTGGTGACATTATTTAGTGGAATATCTTCTCTATCTCAGGTATGTAAATTAAACATTACAGTAATAACTATACTGATAATGGAGGGCATACAATTTGATGCACAGAAAGGCTGTGTGCAGTGAACCGGCCTCTCAGTGGAAGCTGGAGGTAGCTGGCTTCATCAATAAGAGAGTGAAGAAAAGGCCACCATGCATCCATACAAATTTTATGTCTTCATTTCAAATGGAATCATTTGCCTATGCCCTTAGTAATCGTAAGTGTTCAGCTAGAATATATTTTCAAAATGAGACAGCATAGAACAAGTTCTGTAAAATAACGTATCAAAACGAGGAAAACTTTCCATCTCTTTTAAGCTTTAGAAAATACTGTAAACGTCATTTATATGAAGCACTTCAGTAGTCATCTGTGATTTTTTTTTGCTTATCAGTAATAAAATATGTTTCTAAATTATGAGAAATGGCAAAAGGGCTGGAACCTAAGCTATGTACCACAAGCCTATTATTCTGCTTATCTCTTAGTTCAAAGCACTTCATTCAATCTTCAAAACAGATTTATGATAGAAGAACCCAATAAAAGGCAAGTTTCATAACATGCTTCTGAATCTGCCAAGTTCTTAAAAATAACTCACCCTACAACACAGAAAAAAATTTAATTCTTTCTCACCCCTCTCAAATTCGGCATCTTCTGAATAACAGCCTCTTTAATACGTGATCACTTTGTGAATTCTCTTTGAAGGTACTAAACTATTTATTAGAATTCCTAGCTACAAAAGGGTTATTTTATTCCAGCTTTTGTAAGGCTGAGAATTATTTGATAGGATAAAACCAGATTTCTATCCCAAACAAACACAGGGAATATTACGTTTAAAAACTTAGGATTTTGTTCTTTCGCCTTTGCATTCACAGTAAACAAAACTTACACTTTTTAACCTTACACTAGGGATTGATTCTTTCCATGGTAGTAGCTACTTTTAAATTGTGTACAAAACAAGCCACACGTTGCAGGCAAGCAGGAACTAATAAACCTGTAACTACCTTGTATTTACCTGTGTTAATGATACCATACATAGTAAAGAATGAGAAACTACCTTGTTTTACCACAAAGTTTTGGTTTTCAAAGTCACAAGTGAGGAAGTTCTCTAGTTATGTGAAAATGTTGGTTTCTTTTGTCTTCCTCTCTTCTTTGCCTTAATAAAATTGAAAATTTTGCTGCAAAGTACAAAAAGTGAAAACCAAATCCTAGAATCTAAAAAGTGTTTTCCTACCTAGAGGCTCTCAAAAAAACCCCCACCCAACGAACCCCAAACCCACTAGCTGCTTATCTTATGGGAACACGCAGAATCCTGTTGGTTTCACATTTGATCTCCTTCAGCGGGATGCGGCCAAGAGGGAGCTTTCAACTACACTTCCCGTCAGAGGAACTAAACCAACAGTGTTCAGCAGCCATCGTTAAACATGATTCTAGTCAAAACTGCTTCTTCTAGTTATCCCCCATTTAAAAAAAAACTGAAATCACTTTGTTTCTGCAATCACTGTTATCAATATCTTTTAGGATTAAGAACACAATTGTAGTCATTTAAAGTCATTTCCCTTGCTTCTGTCCTAATAGGACACAAAATGCCTGGCATTAATTAACTGAACTTTTCAACTGTCACTACAGGTCCCTGTATGCATTAAGAGTCATGCAAGTAAGCTGAAAAACATTATTGATAATTACACTGCATCATTTTGTTTTAGAAAGATGCACATCAGTCCCTCAATATCAAAGAACATGCATTCTTTAGAAATTAAATTGCTTGTCATACGTACCAGGAACACATGTATAACACACACGTTATGTATCTGGAAGCCCTAATACAGCCTGGTTATTGAGGTCACAGGTTTCAGGTATGTTCTGGACACCCAAAGTTCCTCCTAGAGGAGGTTGCAAACAACTCTTTCTACTGTGAAGTCCTTTATTTGCATATACTTTCGGTATCGAAAGCTACACAAAATATGTTACATGCGCTTTAAGCACTGAAGTCCAAATGAGTATATTCCTTTATTTTCAGATATAGACCTGAATCAAAGGCCCCAATGATAAACTGATTTCCCATGAAGTACTTCAGGATCATCATTATTAACTTGGTGAATTTAACAGAATACAAATTATTAACACAAACCAAACAAACACAAGACAGAAATACCTGACGACTCACTGTTTCTTTGTCATCCATTTCCTAAGTACCATTAATGCTCTTTAATTTACATTTTAGAACCAGAAACTGGGAGTGAGCAGTTCAGAAGGAAACAGAATAATGAACTAAACAGAAGTTTTGCATCATTGCTTCAGAAGCCTAGATAAACCAATCTTCCAAACTTCGTTAGTGTTCAGGTTGTTGAGGGATATTAGTTGTTTAGTG